AGAGAGAGAGAGAGAGAGGATATAGGACTCACTCCAATAGCTCCCTATACAATCCCTTCTTCAAAACATAGAACTGTTCAACGCAACGCGGACACCTCGATAGCTGGGCATTCAGTGCGGCGGTAAACCAGGCCTGGGTCGCCTCCTGGTCGGCAAAAGATAGCAGCACCATAGCATGCGTTACCGATCGGTTTCGATGCGACCCATCTCCTTCGTATTCTACCTCCGCGCCGTCATCCCGTTTCTCGATCTTATCACATAGCCAGTGGACTTGTTCAGGAAGGCTGTTAACGAGCCTGGGACGGGGAAGATCAATACCAGACAAAAGAGCGGGGAAACAAAACCAGGAAGCCTACCTCAGGCCAGACTCGATGTTCTCGACGGCCAAAGAATCAGTGCCAGACATTGTTGACGTCGGGCTGCGAGGGCGGTGCGAACAAACGCCGGCGGGAAGTTGTTGAAGGAACTCAAGGCAGGGTTAGGTTGGTGAAGCTTGAAGGCAAAAAATATGATGACCAACAACAAAATGGGGGAGCTATGTCTGGGGATAATGAAAGACAAAAGAGAGAACAGGCCACAGGTTTTATTGGCGGCAGTCTGGTGGGTTGTGGAGGATGAGGAGGAGCTGGAGGACGTGGAAGTGGAAGTGGAAGTGGAAGTGAATCGGGTTCGTGCAGGAACGCGAAATCTTGGCACTTTATCGAATCATAGTCATAGGCTTGGCGTCACGCGAAGGAAGGGTAAATGCAACCCCCCCTCTACGAGTAGAGGTGCCTAACCAGCTTACGTTCCCGTCAGCCGTACGATACCCGTACCGGTACTCGTCCGCGAGACCCTTGTGACATCATTAAATTTTAATGCTCGCCCCCGTATCCAAGGCACAAATTCGAGCTCTCCATGACCACCACCAGCGATCCTGGCCGTACGGTTCGGCATGAGCACAGTAACGCACTGTACGAGTATTTTGTGACGCCGACTCCCTAGCCGTACCGTACTCGAGTTTGTACTCGAGTACTCTTACAATACGAATGCGGCCGATAAATATATTCGTCACGTGCCTTATCCAAGGACAAATCGCAGCCAAAAGGTGCACCAAAACTTTCTTATCAGACTCACGTGACGAATATATCTATCGGCCGCACTCGTAGAGAGAGCTTCTTGACCCCTTACTACCAATATGGTAGCGCGGTACTCTGGAAGCCACACAAGTAACGCCATCAGTGAAACCCTAAAACCCGGTACTGTACTCGAGTACAAATGCCCACAATTCCTTATCTAACCGCACAATGATTGAAAGCAGTTTGATTAGTGCTTGCGCATTTCCCGGCCCCCCACCAACGCCACCAGAGAGTGCAAGGGCCATCATCGCCTTAGAGTATCGATACAAGTACCATGCTTACCAATCAACACCTACTCGAGTATGATACACGGGCGAATCAAGAGGGCAAGGAAACCGATCCCACCACTGCCCGTATACCACACAGAAACTCGAGCGAATGTGCCTCATACCGAGACGTCCAAAATCCCCCCCCCCCCGGATATGGGGAAAGAGCTACAAAATTGCTTTCCAAGGCCTCTGCACGAGGCCCAACCAATCATAGTACCCGGGTTTCTTCACCATAGGGAAAACCTGTTACGAGGCGGCATCGAGAAGCACCTCAACCGGGAGGGCTACGGTACCGGTATCAAGCCGGTAACGGCACAGCACTCATGTAGGCACTATAATTGCTCCACTGCAAGATTCCCGCCCATTCTCCAAGGTATCCTGGTAAGGGCAATTTGAAAAGCCCGAGTACAAGTATGATTCTATCCCATTGTACTCGTACTAGTGTAGATGCCGCAGCCCACGAGTCGTGTGTACTCGTACGGTAAAGGTATAAAAATAGTCTTATGACTTCATAGTTTACGGCTTCGGACCGGCATCACCCCGCAGCCCATGCCGATTCCGCTCCTCCTCTTGGGACCTTGCAGTGCGGTTGAGCCTCAAAGCTTAGCCGCATTACCGAAAAAGTCGCAAGGCACCCGTCCTTACCGTGCAAGTACGATGCCCGCAGCCTTGGAGGTCAGAGAGCCGGTTGGTGACACGGACACGGTGTCAAACATGTTTGTACGGACATAGGTACGGCATGGTGCTCGCACCCATACCGTGTACGGAGAGGTTGTCGGGCTTTACACATCTGATTGTATCACACCCTTTTCCGCAAACATAATGGGCACCAGTATTCCACACTTCAAGATACTTCCCCCCTCATCACAATAACGGACACACGATCCTGCAACGATATTGCGATTTTTAAAACACTTGGGGAGCCGGATGGACTTGGAAAAAAAAAACGACTGGACGTCTTAGATGGGGCTCCTGAGGCACTTTCCACTAGCGGCTGTTTATCAGCAGAATGAGGTAGAGACACGAGCTATCCGGGACGTTCGAACACTTCCTTTTCCGAAGTGTTTGGAGATCGCGACACTATTGAATTTCCACGGCACGTTGCATTACCTCTGCCAGCTAGGGTCTAGCGGCTCTATTGTGTTGGACGAGCTAACAGGTGCTTCGCACGGGAATAGGCATTATAGAGAGATATCTGACTCCTGTAGCGATGGAAAAAATAAGCAACACAATTCTTTATATTCAATCTCTCCACTTGGCCCCTCAACCACCTGCTAGCATGAAGTAGAAAAGAGAGTTTTAGGTGGAGTAGAGAGGAGAATTCAGTTAGGTACTTTTGTGGGGGGGTATATGATTTGAGTGAGCAAGAATTGTTCACCATTTTTCTTGACTTGATTTGCTTGCTTTCCATTACCAAAGTGGATGACCACTATATTATACTATAGAAAACCCAACCGACCATATATCCATCTGGTGGCTACATTCCTTCCAATCCACACCATTCCTCGTATCTCCTCACATATCATACGTCTCAACTGCTTCTTGCATGTGGTTATCAGGAAGTCCCTAACAACCCCAGTGATATCACAACATAACACAATGTCTACATATTCGAGTGATTATCTGTGAATTTAGCCGTCAAATCCGTTATACATCACATATATCCCATCCCAGCCGTCAAGCTACTTGCCTGGCCAAGGGTATATCTCATCGGCAGGGTATGTATTTTACACAATTCGGAGGCCGAGAACTCGGGTGTCGAATTGCGGTTGCCGTTCCTTTGTTTTCAGAAGGGAGCACGGATAAAACGTAGCCGGGATCTGGCCTTGCTAACAGGTTTTCATACTCTGCAGTCAGGATAGTATTGGGGAATTACGGTGATCCCGCACTCTTATCTCTGTATTAGATTTCCAGTTATGTGAGGAGTCAATTTTAGTAAGTATGGTTAGACAAGGTGTACCTGATGGACCCTCTGGCCACATTCTCCGAGAACTTCAGGTTAGATCCACCCTTGCCACTCCACATTTGCTCCCATGATTCATGGGGATTTTGCGTAATCCCGGTAGTTAAATGGGGGGGAAAGATACAAACACGATATCCTATTTGGTGAACGGGATATCTCGAAGTATTCTTGATGGCTGCGCATCCCGGCGGCAGGGTGGTCTACTTTGTGAAGGGGATAGCTACTTGACAAGGAAGATGCCCCCTTGGCCAGGTGAAAACCCCAACGAAAGGGATGGGGCAAATGTGCATTCCTACTATGGTATCATAGGACAAGAAATGGATGTCCGTGAGCTTTCGCAGGTGTTACAGAGCTGTCAGTTACATACGAGGGCCCAAGAGGTCGTTAACGACCCTAATGGGGCTTATGGTCGGTCCTTGTCTGTGGAGTATCATATCATACTGCATTCTGTACCAACGAACCCCCCCGCCTGGGAAGCATAGATTCGTTGATACCGCACGATAAGTTAGCAAGAACAAATGACACAGCGCCCTATTCTTCTACGATATCCCCAACGAGGGAGGCGATGATCCCCTCCACCCCACCTTCCCCGGCGCCATGTCAACAAGTTGTTGACCTACAGCGGATCGCCGAGCTATGATATTTGCCAAATTTTCTAACCTTACCCATACGGTAGGTACTAGGAAAGTTACAGCCCCAGCCGAACGTTATATCATACATCACAGCTTCCACAGCAGGTGCCACAGCCCTAACCCACCACCCATCCAAGGAGTCACCTGCACTAGCTCATGCCCGGTATGGTCGAAATTCCTGTCGGGGCCGAGCGGCGGAACCGCCGCGTGCATTGGGAGAGACCGGAAGCGAAACCCGGGGACACCTAGTTAGTCGTTTCACCCGCCTTAGAAGCCTTTGTTTGCCATCCAGAATATCCATCCAGGACATCGTCATCGGGCTCATTCGTGAAGTGTTTTGAATCTACCCTTCAAACAGTCAGTCGCCTGATCCTCAATGAACAAACACAAGGACCCTCATGCAGCGCCACAAATACCTCGTAGGGCACCTCTCCAGTGGTCCTTGCACCGCTTTGGAGGGGATCCAGCCTGCTTTGCATTTTACCGCAGCTTGCACGTGGCGAGAACTGCCCGCCTTTCAAGCTTGCTAACAGCATTTCGTCGGTCCCATTTCTAGGGTTATTTTCCCCGGATGACCACTCATATAACTACCTCATAGTAAGATTGTGATAACGAACCTCTTCTCATTGTCGCGCTTCATGTGAGGGTCCGGGGGCCTCGGAGTGTATTCTATGGGGAATGGCCGGAAGCCAGAGGGGATTTCTTACGAGTGAGCTGACATGATGCATACTGCCGTTCTTTGGAAGTATCATATGCTAATTCTTTAGAACCCTACCCCGGATCGGGAAAGGAAATGGACTCTACAGCTAGGGTGAGACTGGAGGTGGCAATAACGCTCCATAAACCTATTGGTCAATCTTGAAGCCAAAATCAACGTGCCCAGGTGTGTGGTCATACCTGCCCCCCACCCGCCCACTCGTGTACTGCACCATGGGATCAGTTGGACTGTATGAGCTAACTAGTACTATTTAAAGAGACTGCCACAGACCATGAGCTGATAGGAACATGGGATATGTTCCAACCAAGCCCGCATTTGCCAGGGCCGGAGGTGCGGAAGAATAGAAAAGAAAAGAAAAAAGTCTTGGTACGTATGATAGTATAAAACGAGCAGCCTAGCGCCCTCTCGTGTCAAACTTCATCTCCCCCCATTCTTGACACACTTCTTCTCACTGTGCTAGGCACTGGTGTTTGCTCGGGTGTGATACATATTACGCGATGGTTCACTAAAAATTTCAACCTTGCACTCCAACACTTCACATTTTGAACACAAAAGAGGTTAGGACCTCCGCAGTCATTGGCTTTACGACTAACACCTACCCTAGGTCTACCTAAAAGCACTGAAAAGGCGACAATAATCAAAGGCCATGATCAAATAATAGCCTCTCAGAGATATCGCCAAAATCTTGGACTACAGTTCCTACTGTTGCAGCCAAACCATTCAACGTCGATTTACAGGTAGGGCAACTCTATCGCCAAGGTACGCTAATCCGAAAGTGGCTACACAATTTATTCCGCATACGGGTGGGCATCATAGATCAACCGCCAACTTGAAAGCCCCCAAGTTCCAGATCGGAATCCTCCAAGGAAAAGGAAAAAAAAAAAGGAAGGGGGGTGGGGAAAGGTTCCACATGCGCGGGTTTGAGCACGTTTTATTGAACCCCCACATCCCCCACCAATAATCCGCGGTGCCGGGGGGCTCTTTGCTGGAAATGGTGCCCTTAATCTTGGTCAGCTTGCTTAGTTTAACCCTCTTTGGATGAGCATGTTTTTGTTTGTTACCAGCCTTCATCACTAAAATGGACCCACCCAAATCATTGCCGGGGGGGAATGCAAGGCAACTTTCCTAGAGGGTACATACAATACCGGTACAGTTGACAATTTAGATTGCGGAACTGTCGGAAAGACCGCATTGGAACCTGGTAAATCGATGGATTTGAGTTGATTCTTTCCTCTTCCGCGTTACGCTACACAGGTTTGTATGATACGGCACTTTCCCATGAAGGAACTTCTTTACCGGTAGACTACGGTAACGGCAAATTCGCTACTCGTGCTCCAAGGTCGCCGCCGATTGATTGGCCGGTTGGTTGATCGATGCACGGATAGTGGGGTAAGTGCTTTGAATGGGGTACGGTGACTCTGTATCCCGCGCCATTACTGTGCTCGAGTCGCCGAATTGAAATCGCTCCCGTTTTGGTGGTGGCCCACCAGCAAAAACTCGACCTCAATCCGGCGACTTGGGTAGGCAGTGGGCAGTGAAACCCATTCACGATATGCCATCATATGATAGCTCTGACACTAAAAGGTTTTCTGGGGGGTGGGGTCCTCGACCCGCAAGCAATACCGCAGGATAGTGGCAATTTAGGTTTCAGAAACCTACTCACATATTGTCAATCATATCATATCATACATAGTACAGTGCCCGTGCAATAGCCCTGCCCAAGACCGTGTTATCACATACAAAAGGCCTACACCCGCCAAGCTGTCCACGAATCCGCACATCCACCAATTGGCCACATCATTCGACCCTTCTCTTCTTTCCTCCCATAATCGTTCCCCTTCATTCACCAAGCCTCCACAAACAACCAAACAACCGGACAAACAAATCCACCACCGCCAAAGGGAAAAAAAGAAAAAAATGAGGACCATCTCAACCCTCCTCACCCTCCTCACCATCCCCCTCTTTGCCAGGGCGCACTTCCAACTTACCTACCCCCCCTCCCGCGGCCCCAACGAGCAAACGCAGTCCACCTCACCCTGCGGTGGTCTCAATACGCCCTCCACAACCCGCACTCCCTGGAGCGTGGCAGGCGGCCAACTAAAATTCGAAGCCGGGCACGACGAAGCTAACACAGCAGTATACCTAGCCCTAGGGAACAACCCGACAAAGGATGATTTCACCATAACACTAGCAGACCAATTCAAGCAGATTGGTCTCGGCACCTTCTGCTGGAGCGAGCTGCCCGTACCGGATGGCACGCAGGGCATTCGTGATGGGGCGAATGCCACCATTCAGGTCGTGCAGGCCGGACATACTGGGGGCGGGCTCTATAACGTAGGCCCTTTTCTTCCCAATTGACCAGGCGTGAGCACTGACTGATAGGGGGCTTCCATAGTGTGCGGATATAACCTTCGTCTCGTCCTCGCCGCAGGGAGTTTCGGCTTGCTCTAATTCTTCCGGTGTCACGGTGGAGCCGGTATCTAAAAGTGATGGCGATGAGCATGGGGGTCATGGTTCCAATTCTTCAGCTTCGTCGTCTCCGTCATCGGCTACAGCGTCTGCAACCAGTAAGCCGAACGGTGGGAGTGCGAATGCTGTTGGGGGGATCGTGCTTGTTGGTGCGGGGATAATGGCCGTCGTGGGGGTTGGGCTTTGTAGTTGAATGGGTTGAGCTGGGGGCCGGAGGCTTTTTTTATTTATTTCATCACTACTATTCTTATTGTATTGTATTACAAGTAACCCCGTAGATAGCGTGGCCGGCTGGTTAATTGATTGATTGGTAATCGATCTGGATTGGTTTGGATGGCAACTGAAGGGGATCTCGGAGCGAGTGGAGTTTGTCCGTGGTAATGATGCATGGCACGGATGATACCGCGAACCAAAGTACCCCCCAGCACAGCTCCGAAATATCATGCCCTAAGAAGTTCACAAAAAGAGCTCCAAATATTATGATGGATGAATAAATCCAGAACAAAACACCCAAACAACACACTCACCACTCCCGTGTTCAAAACGAAAAGAAACATAAACCCCCCCCCCCTCCCCCCCAACCAAACAAACAAAATCCAGCATGAGACGATCCCAACCATATCCCCCACAGAAACACCCCACCACTCCTTCGCCCCATTCCGTTATACATATACATGATACAAACAACAACATTCCAGAGTATTTTTTTAATTTCATGTCGGGGAAGCACAGAACCGACATTCAAGTTTGAGTTTTTTTTTTTTTTCTTGCACGCCACGAGCATCACAGATTTCCCAGGGTTTTCAGGGATTACCGTAGCGTGATGGTGACGAAGGCCGGCCGGCCGAAATCCTCTCTCGAATCCTCACAGTAAATTCTTACGATCTTCATTCCATCCACTCTACCGTATTCCATCCATCCATTGTGATTGGAAGCTGTGGGTGAGAGCGTGGCATGTTACTTGCTTGCTTGTTCGTGGGCATGGTATGGTATGGTATGGGAATGTAGGCCCTACCGGTGAATGCATCATAATATAATTTATATGGTTTATATGTGGGTCCTGTTCTCGTTATTCTTGTTCACGGGGTAAATTAGAGTTTCTCCAGTTATGGTACGATGGTGCTTGTGTCATGTATCGTGTACTGTACTTGTCATATGGGGAGAATTTGCTGGTGTTGCGGTGCACTGGTACTGTACGGATCCGGAGGGTTTATTGCCGTACTGTACTGTGCTGTGCTGTATTGTGCCGTGAGAGAGAGAGTGTGTGTGTGTGTGATACGGGTTCTGGGAGGGTACTGTACTGTATGGTACCGCGCCGTACAGTACTGACCGGTATCATACGGTGTCCTCGTTGGTGTGCTGCGCTGTACTCGTACGTTACAGTGCCGAGATGGGGTTTTCAAAGCACGTTCGGGTTCAATGGTCCGTCATACTTGTGGTGAGCTTCAATCATGTACTGTGCTGAACCGCGGATGAACAGCTATTACACCATTATGAGATCTCAGTGGGCAAAAACGGAACGAGTTGCGCATTTGCCGTATTGTCTGTCATACCGTATCGGCTCATCCCTATGATCATATCACGCCAACTTTGAAATGCAACGCATGCGCCGGAGAAGCGTCAGGAATCAATTGAGAACTCCACCATTACCGTGTCGTGCCTGGGGCGGGGGGGGGAAGGGGTTCGTAACGAGAGTGGGAAAAATAAGATATGGAAAGGGAGGAAAAATGAAACGTAAAGCATAACCCAATCCTGCGCAGATAACTAAAGAAAAACACCGGCAGTAAAAAAAATGCAACTATTCCATGCGTGTCTACACCATAATTCCAGGGCTTTTAACCCGGTTAATGTTAATGTTCGCTCCCGCGAATCCACCGCCCAAATATTAATTCCCCAAAAAATACACCAGCGAGGACGGCAAGGAAGTAACCGACGTTGAATGTCATTACCGCTAGCATGCTGAGCATCGATGGGCTGTTAGTTGGAGCACGGAAGAAGGGATAAAGAGAAGACATACAGTAAATACCCAACCCCCGAAGTAACCATCTGCATAGAGGCCCTGGGAAAATCGACCGACCACCTCCACGGCTTCCCACTCCAACTGCCCGTCCTCCTCCCTCCGCCACTTCCACTCAGTCCCTCCGAACTTCCCAGACTCCCGGCCTTCCCCGCCGCAACGAGTACACTTCGTTCATTCTCCTTAACAGCCCATTTATGGTCCAGCACGCTCTTCCACGCTACCAGGAATCTATACGTGAACGCCAGGAGCATCAGGAAGGCGATCGTACCCGCGTATTCTCCCGGCGAAGCTGGCGCCCACGCAGACGAGTAGAGTGGGTCCGTGATGCCCGTGTGGAAGGACATGCTCATGCCCGAGGTGGGGTGTGATGAGTGGCCACCCCCGGTAGAGTGGTTGTCGCCAATGGAGGCCATTTCGGAAGGATCGGTGCCGGAGGAGCCGGTTTGGTCATCATGTAATGTGAAGTCGGCCATTGTGCGGATTATGTGTCTTGGGTGAAGCATGTTAGGGCTTGTGTCCTCTTTTATCGTGTTTCCTAGGCTGGATTAAGGGGTAGGATATGGTGTCTCGCACAGCGAGACGGTGGAACGAAAGAATGCAGAATAGTGGAAGGAAAGAAATAAAGAAACAAAATCCTCCCTCCCAAGATGAAAGAGAAGAATGAAGACGACAGACACAGAAAATGAAGAAAGGAACAGCGGACGAAGAACTTGCCTGGAAATGTAGCTCCACTCGAAACTTATATGAAATGGAGTGCCCTTCCTTCCTTTCCTCTCCTCCAATTGGTAAAACCCGAGTTTGAGCTTAGCTATTATACCCCTCCTCTCCTTCTTCCGCCCTGTAAGTTCTGGAACCCCAACGAAATCCTTCAAGCGGTAGTAGTAGGGTAAGCTGGGGGGGGGGGGGTAATGGCGCTGCCTGCTCGCCGGAGAGAGTGTCAGTTTGCCAACCCAGCAGCCTTCACCCCTTCAGAGGGAAAAAAAAGGAAGGAAAAATCCGCGACGTCCCGACCCTCAAGCAAGCCTCCGGATTTCATGCGAAGGCAGAGCCACACACACATAAAACTTTTATGTTACGGCGTTATACCTTTCCGGCACATGTGAAGGCATGAAACCGAAGGTACGCGGGGTGGGAGGAATTATTTAAAAAGGCGAACTGGTGGTCCGGTACGGCATCATGGTCGGGATGAGCAGGCGGGTTTGGTACCGGTAGGGGTTGATCCTACCGACAGTTGGGCACCGAGGGGTGGGGAGTGCAGGGGGGAGGGGTACTATACTCGAACTCGAGTACAGTACGAGTACCGTAGGGCAGTGCACGGGCAGAGAGACCCATGTGTGATGGGGAGGAGAAGATGGGGGGGGGGATGCGAGCTTTTGAGATGGTATTACAGTATTAGGGGCGGTAGGGATGGGTGTTGTCTCTTGGCTTTGGTCGGGGCTGCCTGTCCGATAAACTATACGCTATTATTTGCTCGACTGCCGTACTTCATTACTGCACGGTACAGTACTGTGCTGGTACGGTACTCGTACATCACTTGGGCCGCGCGGGCATGTCAGGACAGGACGGGACAGGACAGGGGCAGGGTTGGAGGCGACCCCAACTCGCACACTGCTGACACTCGTTGGTTGAAAGCCAGGTTTTATGATATTTTTGTGAGCGAGTTTCAGACTGATTGGGTAAAGGGTGAGCGGGTTCTGGCCCGATCGGGAAAGCGTGGCTATCGAGGAGGCTATCGTGCGTGGGGTTGTTCCTCTCCCTGCCTTCCTTCCTTCCTCCCTTCCTTTTTTCTTTCTCCTCCACCCGCGCTTGGGAGTGAGGAGGGCTTTCTTGAAAAGTGAAAAAGAAAATGGTTACTCGAGTACCGGCACCAGCCGGCACGGGATGTTAGAGTTTACTGCGTGAATATGCTCGGGTATTGGACTGGGCTGAAATCTTGATTGCCTTTTGTTTGGTGGTTACTGATTGAACGGCGCATTACTGTACTACTTGTATACTATAACGGTGCGTTGCTGGTGCTATACGCCTCTTGTGTGCTACTCGTGCAGCCAATTTATGACGGCACCAGTACTGTACCAGTACTGGTGCAGTGGCTCGTGCAGGTGTTGAAGGATAAGACATGGTACTTGTACTCGAGTACATGGGGACGAGGATAAAGAGTGGGGAGGTGATGATGATGATGATGATGATGACGGCGATGAGGAGAGACAGGACTCGAGTGTGAGGGGGAAAGATGGGGTTGATTATTTCCCTTCCTATTTCCGCCTGTGCACATGCCGCCCGTTTGATTGACATTTCGATCGATGGATGAGTGAATGAATGCATCAATGGTGCTTCTCTACCCTGCAGGAAGAGTTCTTGATCCTTTCCTCCTCCCTCCTCCCTCCTCCCTCCCTTCCTACCTCCCTTCCCTCCCTCTTTCCTCCTCGCATCTAGAAACTAGGATCCGCCCCGGGGTGCACCCTTGCCTTACCACCCTACCACTCCCTTCCTCGTGCATACGGAACGGCGACCTGAGGGAAGACGACTTACCTGCTCGTCCCCATTTCAATGTATACGCCCGCTTGGTCCAGCATTTCTCACGCCCTCTGGTTCGAGTCTGTGACGGTTCCTGCTACTTACTTATCCACCATATCCCCCGTAATCCGGAAACAAGATTGTATTATACTCGAGCACTCTTCATCACCTGCCGGCTTTCCTCGCCCCACCCCCCCCCCCGTGATTGATTGAGCAGGCCACGCCATTGACATTCAAACATGTCACATTCAGGACATGGTAGCGGGGGGAGTGGCCTTTTTCCCGTCCCGGAGGATCCCTACTTTGCAAAGATCTACTGGATGTTTGTTGGTGGAGCTATAGGTGTCGGAGCATTGGTGCATCTGGGGGAATTACTGCTCTACCGTCAGAGGCTCGTTGACACCCTGTTTGTGTCAAACATTCCTTGGCTGACCTGAATGTCTCCTAGAATCTCTGCCGCTTCCAGGGCTCTTCCCCAGCCGGCCAGACCAAAGAGCTTGCTTGTCAGATGGTATGCCACCCTCACTGCGACAACCCGAGAGGCGGTATATTATACCGCCCCGTTGATGGCTGCTCGGGGGAAGCCATCAGGCGCAGACTGGAAGCTTTCATGGAGAAAGTCGTCGTCACCCTTGAATTTCCCGCAGCTTGGGCGTGCCCTGCTCATTGCTGCAAATCTTGCCTTGCTGCTATCGCTCAATTTTTATGGCTGGGATGTGGATGATCGACGGAATTGGGAGGCCATGGCTGTCCGCGCTGGCTGGGTTACCATTGCCCAACTGCCCCTGGTATTCCTGTTGGCTGGCAAGAGGAATCTGATCGGGTACGCTACCGGCACCTCTTACGAGCGATTGAACTGGATTCATAGATGGGTCGCACGGTGCATGTTCATCACCTCCACAATCCATCTGGGCTACTTTTTTCGGACGTGGGGCCGGTATGACTATATCGGGCACAAGCTTGAGATTGACATAATAGCTCGTAGAGGGCTAGGTGCTTGGTGCGTGCTGCTGTGGATCACGCTGTCGAGTTTCGCGCCCATTAGGGGATGGAGATACGAGCTCTTTGTTGTCCAGCATATAATCAGCCTCATTGGCTTTATCGTCATGGTTGGGCTGCACACTCCGGAAAAGGCGCATGTCTATGTCTGGCTACCTGTCGCTGCTTTCATCCTCGACCGTGTCCTGAGGATAGTATATATGCTCTACACCAACCTAGCTATTTTTCACCCTGGAAGGTGGCACAAACCCTCCGGACTCTTCACCTGCAGCGCCACTTTTCACGCGCTGTCGGACAAGGCTACGAGAGTGGTGATACTCGACCCGCCGTTTAATTGGAGTCCGGGACAGCACGCGTTTGTTTCCTGTCACTCGCTGGTGCCACTGCAATCCCACCCGTTCACAATTACGACCTTGCCGTCGGATAATTCTCTAGAGTTTGTGATCCGGACCCAGAAGGGCGGGACCGAGAAGCTTTCCGACCATGCGTGTGTGCTGCCGGCCAATAAGGATAAATCGAAGACTGTTATCATTGATGGCCCCTACGGCCAGATTCGTCCACTGGAGCAATTTGACTCGGTTTTTCTGTTAGCAGGAGGTGCCGGTGCCGCTTTCGTCATCCCATTGCTGAGGGACCTTGTCCGGTTGAGGAGGGAGTCGAAACCGATGGTGACGAGAAAGATCAGACTTGTCTGGGTTGTTCGGAGCAGCACCCAGGCCAGTTGGTTCGCAAAGGAGATTGCGGATGCGACGGGGACACTTGGGAAGGTTAATGGACTAATTCTTGAAGTGAGTGTTTACGTCACTTGTGATGATGCGTTATCAGCACCGCCGTCAAGCTCCCCCAGCCAGAATGGGCTTCCCAAGGCAGCGGATCCAAGAGCAATTCCTACCGAGAAGGTTGGAGGCGTAATGGCAGGAGGGAGTGAACTCTGCGGCGGCGACCGTTGTTGTTGTCAAGAGGTTCTCGAGGACGAGGACGCCATCGTCGAGGCCAACAAAGCCGGTGAGAAGAAGCAAGTCTGTTGCTGCTGCTCGCAGTCCACCGTGCCTCATCCAAAGATACCGAAGACGACAGACACAGACCTTGTCGGGACGCAGACTCAGGATTCCGCCTCTTCGAAGAATAGTTTGGCCGCATCGCTTTGCTTACCGCCGGAGCATATCTTTTCCGGCCGGCCTGCTATCAGGGTTCTCATGAACAAGGAACTTGAGAAGGCACTTGGGGAGAGCGCAGTGGTGGTATGTGGCCCCGCGGAGTTGGCCGAGAAGACGAGGCAGGCTGTTGTCGCTCTTAGTGACGAGAGGGCGGTGCATAAAGGGACTGGTGCACAAGGAGTGGGTTTACCTATTCCCATCTTCGTTCATTTGATTGGATGTGGGACTAACGGGTTTTAGATTTACTTGCATACCGAATCATTTTCTTGGTAGGATGGGTACTGCATTGACGGGTGCGCTGTTTTCGCATATAATACCTAGGGGTTGTCTAGAGTTTAGGCTTTGTGCATACATAATTCCTGTTTGGCCTGTTAGGGGGTGGGATTCTTGGGCACTGGCTATTGTGGTTGAGCTGGTTGTGGTTTGTGGTTTGATACGGGCTTGCATGGAGTATATAATACGTCGTTGAGGAGGCGAGGGTTTGGCCATATTTGCCAGGCACATGAAAGATTTTTAGCAGAGTGGGCTGTCATTGCTAATGGCGGGAGATTATTGATTCACGAGTAGTCAGTGGGGATCGGAATTTTAGTTTCCCTGCAGTCAACTCATGCTGCAGATTTCTTCCGGTTGCTTTCGGGGCTTCTATATGCTGATGTAGAAGCAGCGCTTTGGGGCACGTATATGGCCTACGGGTGCATTGCGAGCAACTTTGTAGACAATTTTTACAGGCTCCCTTGTACCATAACAATAAAAAAGGAGGGACGCTCTCACCGACACCTTGCCAGAGAAGTCTTCCACAGCACCCCTCCCGTTCCCTCTAAGGTTTCTAGTAAACAAAATTTCACACTTGCCCATCACCATCCTTTACAGCATCTCACCCTCCCCCCACGGCCGAGATATTAGGTTCTCACAGAGTATCACTCGCTGCCCAGTGCCCGCACTCCTGCCACCGCATCCTTACTAATCAAGACTTCTAAATTTTCATGCATCATACCGGTGCTCGAATATGATAATAATATTATTATGATATATAATCACGCCAAGGTTACTACTTGGTATTGGTACTCAAAAGCTAGACTAAGACTCACCGAGTCCGACAACGCATACCGCTACCCCCTGCAGAGCCTGCCATACCCGTCCGCTGCCAATTCCCAACCTCAACCTCAATCTCGACCCATCCTCCCAGTCCCCAGCATCACGGCCAAAAAAACAAAAAACGAAACAATGCTAACCCGGCCTGAAGACCTCTCCAACCCCCCCAAAACCACCTTGTTCAGCCAGCTCTTGCGAGACCACTCGGATATCCGCGCCAAAAACCCGGTCGACGAATCCGGGCCTTTCCAGAGGCTGTACCATTCCCTCCCCTCCCCTCCCCTAGCCCCACCCGCTCCGCTTTGCGGGGGCTAATTGGAAAGATAGGTGCGAAGCCTGCCGCCGCGGGGACCTACAAACCGTGCAAAACCTGATCGCGTACGAGGGCGTGAACTTGAACGCTGTCGACCGGTTCGATAATCTTCCTCTGACTTTGGTACGTATTTTCGCATGCTCGTCTAACGCGAATGGTCGCGGTGGCTGAAGGGGGAAGTGATAAGGCTAGTCTGTGCGGACACTACGAAGTGGTGGAGTTGCTGCTCGAGAGCGGCGCCGTATGCGAGAGGGATACATTCCAGGGCGAGAGGATTTTGTATAATGCCTTGAATAGCCGGATCAGGAATTTGTTGGTGCGGTATGATGTATTACTCCCGCTGGCTCTGTTGTACTCTCATCTCCCACAGCTGATATTGAGAGGGGGGGGGGGTAGTATTCGAAAAGCATCGACCCGGCGCAGCCCTGGGCTGCGCATATCGCGTCCTTGCTCTCGCGGGAGCCGTTGGATACTACTGACATAGTTATAACGGCAACTACCGCCACTGGCCTGGAAATGGCCTTTCACCTGCACAAGTTCATGCTCTCGGCTCGCTCGCCGTACCTGCGGCGGAGGCTCTCGCTCCCCTATACCCCCACCGCCGCCAACGAGCATGAGCCCAAAAAGACCATCCGGCTCTCGCAAAGCTTCTCCCCGCGCGCGTTGGAGACCGTGGTGAAACACATCTACCTCGGCGACATCTTTGTGGACCCTAATTCGGACGAGGACGCGATGGAGAATATAGAAAAGTTGAGCAGACATCTGGAGATCCCAGAGTTGTGCGAACTTTTGCTAGCAGATACGCCGAAATTGCGACGGCAGCTGCGCAGCGAGGGATTGAAGAAGGCACAAGCGGGGATGGAAGAGTGGGTGCAGGAGAACGTGCTGAAGAAGAGGATCGTGGTAAGGAAGTCACAGGTCGGGGGTATCAAGATGTTTCCGGGAAACGATAGTTTCGCAGACGTGCTCATCCGTTCCGATGAGCCGGACTGGCACGGCGCAGAGGTAGTAGACGCAGGCACAGGCGGAGAAGTAGAAGAAGAGGAAGACTACTTTACACACATCTATCCAACCCACAAAGCCCTCCTCCGCTCCGAATTCTTTACAGCAATGTTCACATCCCCCTTCCTCGAAGGCCTGCCCACAACCCCCGCCTCCCCTCTCCCCATAATCTCCCTTCCCCTACCCGCCTCCACCCTCCCATATCTCCTCCTGCACCTCTACCTCGAAACCCCGACCCCGCCCCCGCTCCAGCACTCCCTCTCTCTCCTCTACACCTCGGACCTCCTCTTCCTCGACCGCCTAAAATCCAAATGCGCACAGGTCATCGCCACAGCGTCCGACGACCTCCCCTTCCACATCTACGACGTAATCCGCGCCGCATGGGCCACGCGCGTCCCTCGGCTCGAGGCCTTTGGCGCAAAGTACATTGCCGAGCGACTCGAGGACTTTCTCCCCGACCCGGAGTTTCTGGAGCTGGTCGCTGAGAGCGCGGGGAGGATCAAGGGTCGGCAGGAAACGGATACCATCGAACTCGTGGACGACATCCGGTATTACCTAGACGAGAGATTTAGGATGAGGGTGGAGGATAATTTGGGGTTCTGTGGGAACGGGGAGGAGGCGGCGGGCGAGGTTGATGGCAGTTTGAAGACGGAGAAGGGCCATGTTTATGAGGAGTTGCTGGGGAGGATCGATGCGCTTCTGGAGGAGTTGAAGTTGGACGCTTAGAGTGCGGTTGGAGATGTATGTTACACGCGTACACATTCGTTTGTTTCATTTGTCCCTTACATTTTTTGCGGGGCGCGATACCCAGGCAGATATGGCCGGGAATGAATAGAGTTGCACGATTTCCCATGACATGATGGTAGCAGATTCACAGTGTAGGTTACCAGTCAGTCAATTAGACTGGTCGAGTCGAGCAAGGAGATAGCAAGCAGGGGGTGAAAAAAAAAAAGTCCACATGATCGAAATACCCCACTCCCTTCATTCAATCTATAGAGGGAACGAGTATGGAAAGAAAAAAGGTTGGAGATACGGCGAATCGAACGCCGGACCACCTCTATGCTAAAGAGGTATTATACCACTAAACCATATCCCCATACCACTTTCAGTCGCTCCTGACATGATCAAACAATATTCTCGTGAGAAGCAAATCTGAATGAAAAATAAAATAACAAAGACAAGGTATTTCCGGAAACACGAACCTCCCCCCCGCTACCCCTCCCTCCGCAACGTCCCCCACCTAAAATCCATGCTCAGTGCTGTCCCCCCCAATCACGCTCGTCGCTGCAGAGCTGGCCACGGCCTGCAAGACCCCATCCAGATAGTTCGCCCCACTCCATTTCTGGTGCGTGAGCACGTCGCATCCAATCTCCTTCTCGCGCCTCTGCACGAGGTCAACGTATGCGAGCATGCCCTCATCCCTGAACCGCGCAGCGAGCTCACAGGTGGCGAGGGCGTCCGAGTGCAATCCCGCGAGGGACACGAGTTGCAGCACGAAGCCTTCCTTCGCCAGGTCCCAGATGAAGGATTTTAACTGCTCGGGTGTGAAGCCCTCCGCTAGCCAATTGAAGCTGGGGGAGAGGTTGTAGACTAGGTGTTTGCCCGCGGCCGGGGAGGAAGGGGAGCGCAGGAGGGTGCGGGCGAAGGAGGTTGCCTGCGTGAGTGATGGGCGCTTGGTCTCAAGCCAGAGTAGGTCCGAATAGGGTGCGAAGGCCTGTGTGCGCTTTATGGCAGCGGGGAGGCCGGCGGAGTAGTGGTAGTAGCCCTCCCGCGTGCGGGGGAGGTCCCATGAGAAGAAGATCTCACGGCCGAGAAGTGCACGTGCATGTTCCCGCGCAACGGTGTTGCTACGGGTTGATGCGTGCTGCATGTACTCTTCAAGCTTTGCCTGGGAGTCGGGGAGTTTGGCGAGTTCGGACTTGACGGCGTCGTCGAAGGTTGTCAATTTGTGCTGCGTGAGCCAGGCCGTCTCCGCCCTGTCCAGGGCCTCCGCCGGGGCACCGGTGGATTCGAGGCTTTGGAGGACTTCGCTGAGAGGGGTGGTTCCGGTGGTCGTGCCAAGGATGAACTGGTGGTCACGGGTGTCGACAGTGCTGCTAATGAGCTTCCCACTCTCACTATCCGTTCGCGCTATCAAGAGGTTCTCCACACCCATTAAGTCCCACTGGAATCGCGCTGCGACGAGCCGGTTGATGTGCTCGCTGATGGGCACGAGGACTTTGCCCGATAGGTGCCCGCACTTCTTGCCACCGTGCATTTGGTCCTCCAGATGTATCCCCGCGGCCCCATTCTCGGCGAAGAGCTTGGCTAGCTTCATTACGGCGGATAGCCCACCATGTCCGGTGTCCCCGTCCGCAATTATCGGGCGGAGGTAGTCCACCCACGGCTTCTCCTTGCGCTGTTGCGGGGTCATGCTCCGGCGTTCGTCATAGTGCCTCCTGTCGTGGAGCTGCTGGGCTTTGAATAGTCGCTGAACTTGGTTTGGTACAGTATTGTAGGGGTAATCCCCAAGATCCGGCGACACTTCATTCGTAGTCGTGAGAACGCTTGAGCAAGCCCACCCACTCACGTACAGTACTTCAAGATGCTGTGCTTGCTGGGTCATTTGTACGGGATCGATAGCGCCCACTAATACCTCCTATCCATTAGCCACCCTCCCTTCCGCCATGCCTTGGGAGATGGGGTGGGGATACTAGTATGCACCGGCAACCCCTGCGCAGCCCGCTCATTCAGCAATTCAAACAGCTTCCTGGCCGTCTGTGAGCTTGGGTAGTGCTGCTTCAGCGTGCCCCGCTTGCTAACAATATCCTCGGCGGAATAGGGCCGAGTAATCCCCTTCCATCGCGGCTCCGCCCACCACTTTTTCACCCCCCCGACCTCGGTAGCGAATATCGCGTCTTCCTCCTCGGGTTTCGGAGGGTGTGTTGAGAGCATTCTCAGGGTCGAGTTGGTGGCTGTCGCACAAAGGATCCGCGGTAGGAGCTTTGCCGGCCGCAGGACTGGACGGCAAAGAAGGAATTGGGCAGGCATTGCACGTTTGGCGTCGGGAAGGTGGAATTGACCTTGAAAAGTCAAGGTGGAGGGGGAGGTGCTGGATGAAATGACGGGACGGAACGGGTATCGGCGGTGTAATTGAATTTCTTGGCTCGGCACAGCACCGGTAGTAGCAAGGCACGTGTCACGGAGTACGGTAGTGGGGAATTTGCAGGGTCCATGTCACCGTCTATCGAACCGGTACTGGCATAATATGTCGTGAGGGCAAAACAGGTTATCATAAGTGGAAAGTAATATCATGAGGCCAAAGAAGCGGGGAGAAACCCACCCTATCCAGCGAGAGCAAACAGTAACCGCAAATCCGCATGCAAACAAGGAAGGGCACACCCGTATGTACGAGTGCCGGCCCACAACGCACGCGTTCCCACCGCCACCGATATGCACAAGACCGCACGGCGGAAGGGCCCCGATTGTGCAATACTGGACTCGGATCCCAGGCCCCTACGGTTCACATAACGGATGCCCACACATGGCCACATATCGAGTGATATCTTGTGAAGGATGTGGTGTACATAATGGGCCCCAGATTGACGGCAAACGATAGACCGGGCGGGCGCCCGACACCTGGCCAAGTTGCTGAAGGAGGGCAGGCAATTATGGCCACCACCCGTCCTGGCGGAATATGTAAGTACGCATATGCGTCCGCCCAACACAGGTGCAGTATGGGTGAACGCGGTGAAGGATAAAGACTTCTGTACCTAGGGCACTCCTCCATTACAAGTGCGAAAGAAAAAACGTCTGACAAGACAGATGGGTCACGGAGGCGTCCATAACCCTCCCGGAGCCATCAAATTCACCGGTGGCTGTAGCAAGGGGAGAATGGACCATCGTAAAGGCCATCAGGGGACGGACGGGAACCTTTATTATGCCGTATCCGCTTATACTGGGATCAAGGAATTGTTGGTTCGACCGTACCTTGCCTCCTGATCTGGGCCTCTCAGCCAGTTTTCAAAATTCTCCAAAATAGCATCCCCTTTATGATATCACCCCGGTTTCTTCTTCACTCTACCACACCACACCACCAACTCGCAGGCCGGACCGGCCGGCAGAGGACAAGCGGAAAAGTACAGACAGAGCACACCGTCGTACTGGTATCATACGGCAGGAAGTGTCCTACCCATTCCACCGGCTGCGATCCGGAAACACACAGACAGACACCCAGAACTCTCTCTCTCAGTACAGTACAGTAGCGTAACACAGCCAGCGCACACCTACTTCAACGTACGACAATACGAAGCAAGCGCACTTCCAACCTTCCAACAACTGGTCACCGAAAAAAACCCAAGGAAAAAGCATAAAACTCACATTATCGTTTACATATGTACCCACCCAACGCTGGTAAAGTCGAACACCGCCCGATGCCACTCCACAAAAACATCATACCATATCATACCTCCCAAGAGCCCCCGTATCTTCCATCATTCACACGAACCGATAATCCACCCACTCGCCCCACCATCAACCAAAGAGAACAGAAGTGGTGTGTATATACGATAAATACGTGTAACGGGCACATAACATTACGATACCAAAAAAAAAAAAAAAAAGAAAGGAGATAATTTCTCCAATCCAGAAACACTAAAATAACTTATAATAATTATTATCATAAAAAGGATAAGGTGATTTTATGATTTTTATTTATTTTTATCGACAAATGGTATATATATATATATTTATACGATGGCCAAGTGCTTACCCCCCCCCCCCCCACTTTCTTTGAGCGCATAACTTGTGATGAAAATCTCACTACTATCATGCTATCATACAGCTCACATTGAAGCGTATAATAAGCCTGTGGTGGAACCGATCGGGCTCTTGTCTCCTGCGCCCTGAGTGCTCGCACTCCTCGTGGCCTATGACCCAGTACCGGTATCGTGAATCCTATGATACTCTACGTCCAACGCGACATCCGCAGGAGCCCCCGCCATTCGATAGTTTTCGTGGGACGGGACAGGACTTGCTGGTCAGCGGCTTTCCCCTAATCTGTGGGGGAAGCGGGGGGGCTAGCTTAAGGTATTGCTCTTTCAATCGTGGGCAACTATGCACGAACGATGCGGAGAGCATGTGTCCTCCCGCGAGTGCATTTCTTAGTTAGGAGTGGAATGTATGTTTTATAGTGCACAAGGTTGGAACTCCTTTGTCTATGACCCATCCGAGCAGCGGCTGTGCCACGACCCAGCGCTACGGACACCTCTTTGATCCAACAGCTCGTGGTGGGCTTAACAATATACAGAAGAGCGAATAGAAACAACCTCAACACGCAAGCATCCTCCACCCACCCACCAACCAACCCCAAATCGTACAAGATATTTATAACCACAATCAGAAACTCGAGTGACGTTCTATGAGGACACTCTCTTGTTTTCGATTTAACCAATTCTACTTCCAACTAACCCAACCTGCAAGGTATCACACCGAGTCCGAGGGGGAAATCAGGCGCCAACAGCCCTAGCAATCGCCTCCATGGAAAGACTTTTGGGCCTCTCGATCGGCAATCCAAGAGCTCTATCCCAGATCAACTGCGCCAGAGGGCCCAAGCCTCTCGATACGCCAAAGGTGACGGTGTAGTAAAGGTCTTGATTGATTCTACCGCCGCCCAAACCATTAGCCTACACCGCATCGGAAGAAGGGGAGGATAAAAAGTGAAAAATAAATTACCCGTAATGATGGAACAAAACGCCGGAAGCAGAGTCCACGTTCGGATGCGGGTTCTTAGTCTTCCCGTGCTCCATCAAAACCCTTGGCGCGAGCTCGCTGTTCTTCTTGACGAGTTTGAATACGGCTCCTTTGGCGACTTCAGGACGGGATTTGGCAAAGTCCATGAGTGCCTGGAAGCGGGGATCTGGCTTGCGAAGGACAGCGTGACCGTAGCCGGGGATTACCTGCCCGCTGTTGAGAAGGGACCAGAGGTAGTTTTCAATATCCTTGTCCGAGTAGGTATTGCCGACCACCTTGTGCATCGCTTGGATAAACCGAAGGACTTCCTGCGCTGCCAAGCCATGAAGAGGCCCCGCGAGACCCTGGAGGCCGGCAGAGTATGAAAGGAAGGGGTCACTGAGTGCGCTGCCGACGAGGTGAGTCGCGTGTGCGGATACGTTGCCGCCTTCGTGGTCGCCATGCAGCGCGAGGTAGAGTCTCAGGAGGTCTACAAAACCGGTGTTGTCGGATTTTCCGAGCATTGCAGCATAGTTGTGTGACCAATCCTGGTTCAGGTCAACGGAGGCCGGGAGAGGACCCCCGCCGAGGTAGGTGTTCTGGTAAATCTTTGCGGCAATAGTGGGGAGCTTAGCTAGGAGGAAGATAGAGTCGTCGAACGTAGGCTCCCAGTAGTCAGCCTTTGACAGACCTTTCTCGTATAGTTTGGCAAACTTGGACTCGTGGTTCAGAGCGGAGACAGCGATTGCGACTATCAGAATTGTAAGCTCGAATATCCACCCGCGTGTGGGGGGAGCGCACACTGTGTCATAGGATGTAAAGTAGTCGGCATATTATCCAACATCTTCTCAACAAAATCCGGCAATCCCGCATTCTCGGCCAACGTCCTGCTCAACTCACGGACCTGTTCGACGCTAGGAACCTGTCCAGTCAACAGCAGCCAGAACATTCCCTCGGGAAGCATCTCCTCTCCGGAAGTCCCCTTCGGTAAGACCTTCTGGCAGTCCTTGATCGTCTTTCCGTGGAATCTAATCCCTTCATTGGCATCCAGAACAGAGCCTTCCCAAAGCATGCCCTTGATACCTCTACTCATCCATCCCATTAGGAAACTACCACACAAACGAGAGTGTCAAGAGAAAAAGCGGACCTCATCCCACCAATGGCGTTCTCAACCTTAACCTCCCCAAGCACCTTCTCTCCATGCTCTACCTTAAGCTTCTTCAACATCTCACGCTTAGCGGGAATAACCTCCTTAAGCGTTTCCTTAAGGTCTTTCTGAGCCAAAGTCGAGGCATTGCGTTGACCAACATAGACAGGGCGAATGCGAGAAGCAATTCCACAAAGGCTACGACTTAACGCCCTAGTAGACATTCCGGATTGAGAGAAAAGAAGGTTCGTGTGTCTGTACGTTTTCTGCGAGGAAATGCGGTGGGGGGGGGGTGTAGGTGTGAAGGGAAAGAGATGAGAGAATATTATTCGTGGGCACGGCCGGTTGCACTCGGTTCCCTAATTACCAGCTCCTTTTTGGTGAGCTCGGCGGGACCTCGGGCCCTTCTGTATCCCCACATACTCGAGTATATATCCGCTTATCTGATCCGAGGGTTTGTTATCAGAGGCTAGCCCCCCACAAGATCAATTGAAGTGGCTTCAAGACCCCCCAGGTGTCTGAAGCCGATAACTTTTGCACTATCATAATATTATTATCATACCGGTAGTCGTTTTTTCGCCCAAACTGGGAACCAAACACCCCCGCCGTCATAAGGGACAAAATATTTTCTGTGGGATTCGACTATCACTCAGCCCTAGTAGGTTAAATAATATTACCCCACCAGTAGTCATAATTAAGGGTTGCAGGCGAGGTCTATCAGTCCATAGAAATTAAGGCACATAGCCAACATCAAAATTCATACCATAAAATACCTGTATTATAATTTACTAAGAAGTGCAGTGCAATTAGGAAGCTATCATACTGTTCTCACTTTATCCCAATGTTCAGGTCTCACCCAATACTCGAGTAGACCAACTGTCCCAAAACACCTCCAAAGCCAGCACCTCAACCTCCCTAGTGCCGTGCTTGTAGAGTACGGTAATCTAAGCCCCTAATTTATAGTATATTATATACACAACCAACCATCCAATCCATAGCTCATTATCTCATAGCAAAGCACAGCACATCCCAGCACCATAACGGAAAACGTGTACAATTCAAAAAGAAAAAAGCGCTTTTTTTTATTTCGCAAAAAGTGACACATAGACCCAGAAATACGAAGATAAACCAGAAAGGCCAAGAGAGGAA